AAAGATGGGGTTGAGAAGATGAAGAAAGAAGTTGAGAAACGAGAAAAATCAATCGATCTCTTGGTTCGTGTTCTCAAGTTTTGATTTCTCTAGTATTCTTCTTTCCATCAATCCGATCTGACTTTTAACTGGCTCTTTATACATCTTAATTAGATCAATGCAGTTAAAATGCAAGGACAATCGATCCATCCAACTGGTGGCAATAGTCTTCAATCCATCTCTCAAGCTCTCTTACAACAAGGACAACGTGAAGCTGAAGACGTCTTACGTACCAACGTGATTGGAACTTATTTCGTCATTGCTACTTTATTACCTTTACTTGGTAATTCGTCTCATAATCCTCAAATCATCAATGTTGCTGGTGTTGCTGGTCTTTCTCGTGAATTTTCCGAAGGTCTTATCGAACCTGCTTCTCAAGCTGCCATCATTCATATGTCAAAGACTTTATCAACTCTTTTGGCTAGAACTAATGTTCGTTGTAATGTCATTGCTCCTGGAATTTGTAAGTTTCCTGTCGATTTGTTTAATCTCATTATGTATACATTTTTAATTCAATTTATTCTTTTTTTCTTCTTCTGTATCTGATTCTTAGTCCCAGGTGGAGACAAGAATCAACATGGAAAAGATCAACAATCAATGTCATCTATGAAAGAAATGATCTCACGAGTTCCAGCCGGTCGAGCTGGTGCCGAAAAAGATATCAGCACTTTAATCCTCTGCTTATGTGTAAGTCATCTTCCTTTCTCTTTAATTCTTAAATCCCTTGTCTAAAATGTTTTGTTTTGATCCTTACAAATGTTCAGAGCGGATTCCAAACTTATGTTTCTGGAGCTGTGATCCCTATCGATGGTGGTCTTCTTACTCAAGTTCCATGTTGTTATTGATCTTTCTCTTGTATTTTGAAAATGAAATATCTTCAATATGCGCTATTTGATCATCAAACTCTAAAAAAAATTATGTATCACTTTATTTGAATATCATCCTCGTTATTATCTAGTATTGTAAGAAGAATCAATTCTTTTATTCCATCTCGTGCTACTGTTGTTGTTAGGTAAACATTTTATGTTACTTGCAATTATGTGATTCGATTATTGTGTCCTCCCTTCATACTTTGTGCGTCCTTCTGAGTCTGACAATCAACAACATCCGGTTCCCCATGACATTATGATCTGATCTCACTAGGTCCATTACAATTTATAACATCCTATCTTATTTCATAA